TTGTGTGGTCCCTGAAGTCCTCCTCCTTCTCTGGCTACTTTTTTTGTAGCTCTTTCCTCCCAGTTTTCTCCTTCTACTTATCCTCTCTGCCTGCCAGATTCACATATCCTTTCTCCTGCCTTGCTATTGGCCATTTAGTTCTTCATTAGACCATCAGGTGTTTTAGACAGGCAAAATCACATAGCTTCACAGAGTTAAACAAAAATAACATAAACAAAAGTAACATACCTTAAAATAATATTCTGCAACAACATTCTTTCCACTTCCTCTTCTACAATTTTCCTTGAGCCTTAAGCAGGTGGTATAAATATCTACTTATAAAAATGACTACTCAGCTATCCCTTATTCTACAGTTAAGCTGGGATGTTTTGTATCAATTAACCTAATCTATCTTTTACAAATCTTCCCTGGGACATTTCTGCTAGATACTTCTAGATCCTTGACATTTACAATATTAGGTATCACACCATCACATGATCTCACAGGATCATTCAAAGAATTCGAAGTGTAAGTTTGTAACCATTCTGAAGCAGAGTGGTTTAGGGAACTAGCCGTTTCTTTCTTGTTTTATCACTGTGAGAGCCCTACTCACTCATTCACCAAGCTTTTCCAGCCCCATTACACAGACCATGAGTTTCCAGCTCAAGTGTCACTCAATCTTCCAACGTCATAGGGGGTGTCTTTGGCTGGAACCTCCTTCCAGCCCATAGCACAGCAATCTGGAAGCTCCTGGGACAAAGTGGCCTCCAGCTGAAAGTTTAAATTCACTGCTCAGGCGCCATGCTCTTCTTAAGGGTGAAGAAAAGACTCAGTCCTCTTGGAAGCAAATTGCCCATACAGCTCTCTGGTCCTTGAGAACCCTAGAGAGCAACCTAGAGATCCTGCTTCTGGAGTCTTAATTTTGGGCATGGCACTGCTCCCAGGAGGTCCTTGGAATTAAGGGCAATGTCTTCTCCAGCACAAGCATACAGCTGAATTCCTGTGAACGGAACTGCCAGACAAGAGAATCTATTACTACAGGATCCCTCATCACTCACTTTCCCAAGTGGCCAAAGGCATCATCAGGGATTTGCTGAGCACCTCTCATGTCAGGTCCCGTGCCCAGGTCTTCCCTTGCATCTCACTTGCACTTAAATCTCACAGTCCTGAGAGACAGAGACAGAGAGACAGAGACAGAGAGACAGAGACCACTATTGTCCCCACCTGGGGACATGAAGAGCAAGGCTTAGAGAAGTGAAGTCTCATACTTTAAGAACTGAATTGAGCCTTTAATGTCACCTCTGTCTTCCTCTCTCTGGCATCAAGGCAACAAGGACAGTCATAGGTTCTAGGTGCCAAGGGCCTGACCTTGAGCAACACTGCTTTTCAGTGCTGGGAATGCCCTCTTTGAAATCTGAGCTAAACTCAAAGAAAAACATTCCTTCTACTGCCAGATTGCAGTAAACTTGCAGAATCCGGGGCCTTAAAATATGGCCCAGGCTTAAAGTGCATCAATTGACTTAATCAGTCCCATCATTTCTCGTTCAAAATAGAAAGGGAGTAAGACAAATAGGAAGGACTTTGGGCATCTTATAGAAACATACAAATGTAATACCATCCATGGAATGCAGTAACCTTAAAAACAAAAGTATAAAGTATGAAGCTATGAGGAATAAAGAGTTGCTGTAACTAAACAGCTCTTTAGATTAGAGGATCCTGGCAGGCAGGGTGATGGGAAAATAAGTTCTTTATTAGCTATTATCAGCATCAGAGAAAAGACCAATTGAAGAGAAAGGTACTTTTCATTAATTCTAGCTTCCAACAGGGTGTCCCACCTGAGAACTTGAATAACTTAATATCCAACAACAGCTTTATAGTAAATGTTCAATCCACATGGCATGCTTTGCGACATCTCAAGAGGAAAGGAGGGAAAATTTGAGTCAAGGACATGATGGTTGATATTGTAGACTTGTGGGTCTCTGTCACACCTGTACAGCTCTGCTGACACAGTGACAAAGACAGAACAGACAGGGGAACAACAAATGGCCATGCTCTGCTCCAACTGTGCTCATGCTGTGTTTATGGACACTACTTTTTGTTTTATTTTGATGTTTTCCTGTGGTTACAATGCCATGCTATGGGCCATGAGCTAAATACACACACACACACACACACACACACACACACACACACACACACACACATATACATCATCAAACTTTGGACCTTATTTTTCTCTTAGTGTCCTCCTTTTTGCCCCTCCCTCTCTTCCTGGCCTCTTTCTCTCTCTAGATAGCCTCCCTCCTTTTGGGACATATGTGTCTCTCTTTTCTTGTGTTCTCTCTCTCTTTTCATATTTTCCTTTTTTTCATGGTCAGTCATCTTACACTAAACACCAATACTCATTTTCATATAATTTTCCTGACATGAAATATTCTTCTCCTGCTTTTTTATCACTCATAACCACCATTCTCAACTTATAAAATCAAGTGGCCAACTGAGGTTGGCAAACATTGGCCAAATATAGCCAGGTACCTTTGTAAGTGTGTGTGTGCCTATGTGTGCGTGTGTGTGTGTGTGTGTGTGTGTGTGTGTGTGTGTGTGTGTGTGTGTGTTTCAATAGAGTTTGTTA